ACGCCGTGACGGTGTCCCAGTCATGTTGTGATGGTGTCTCGCTCATGTTGTGACGGTGTCCCGGTCATGTTTTGATGGTGTCCCGGTCATGTTGTGATGGTGTCCTGGTCATGTTTTGGCGGTGCGCCGGTTATGTTTTGATGGTGTCCGGGTCATGTGACGGTGTCCCGGTCATGTTGCGATAGTGTCCCGGTCATGTTGTGATGGTGTCCCCGTCATGTCATGCTGGTGTCCCGGTCACCTTGTGATGGTGTCCTGGTTATGTTGTGATGGTGTCCCAATCATGTTGTGACGGTGTCCCGGTCATGTTTTGATGGTGCCCTGGTCATGTTGTGATAGTGTCCCGGTCATGTTGTGAAGGTGTCCCCGTCATGTCATGCTGGTGTCCCGGTCACCTTGTGATGGTGTCCCGGTTATGTTGTGATGGTGTCCCAATCATGTTGTGACGGTCTCTCGGTCTTGTTTTGATGGTGCCCTGGTCATTTTGTGAAGGTGTCCCGGTTATGTGATGATGGTGTCCAAGGAAGAGATGGTCGATGTGTTGAAAACAGCAGATTTTTCTTTTTGTCCCGGTTTGTATCTTGCTATTGGGGTCTCCAGCTGGGCTAATTATTTCCTTTTCCTACACTTTTCACATTTGCATATTTGTGTTGTTTGCTTGTGCCCCGCGTCACCTGAGCAAACAAGTCATGAAGGAAAACCGCCTCAGGATGTCTGATTGAAGGAACCAGCTGCAAAAACCCTCCTAGTCCAAAAAGCAAGTGGTTAACACTTCCTCACACTCACACTCTCAAGAAAAAGTAATTCATGGTTTTTTTGAACTTGGCAGGGGTTGTGAAAACTCATAGGCATGCCCTCAACAGATGGCATCATGCACCCCATATGGGGCCCCCTTTTGAGTCCAGCAACTAGGCCTTGCCACGGATACAAAAGGGCACCCCTAAGCAACTCAAAACCTTCCGCCTCCAGCTGCCTCCTGCTCTCAAGTATAGGGTGAGTTCTAACCACTTCTCACATGTCCTTGGCTTCCGTTTCCTCTCATCCACGTGAAGTCCCACCCCTACTAAAAACAGTTTACATGACCTCCTGAGCCCCTCATGATGCTGACGATGCACTTTTCGCCGTCAATTGCATCACTTGCATCACAACACCCCAAAAACAACTCATTGTTCACTACCTCCGGGCCGGGCCACCTCTTTTTTTTTGCTCTCCTTCACCGGGCTCTGGGTTAGCCTCTCCGAGATTGCCCCTCTCCCAACCACCCCCCCCGACTCTGACATTGGTTTGCTCTGATATTGGTTTGCTGTTAACTCAATTCCCACGTTGAGAAGGAAGGTGAGGGAAACGCAAGGTGAAAGGGTCAGCGCACTTGTATTGTTTGAGCATTCTGTTGACATGTCTGCGGTGGCGAACTTCGACGCGGCTCAGCTGCAGTGCAAAAGGTAGGAGAAAAGGTTTGGGGGACGTATCATGAAGAACCATGAAGCAAAACGTGGAGAGTGGGGTCACAGCTTGTGCAACCGTTAGTCGCAGGTACGTCGATTTGGCGTCCCAAATCGATTCACAGATGCAGCACTGGCGTCTTCGTTGGTGCCAGTCCAGTGTGCATCCCTGGCACCCCCTGCTGAAGAAGCATTCAAAACCAAAAACAAGGGGGAACCCTCAGGTACAGGGGTTGACACACACACACACGGCGCCGCTTTGCGGCGCTCGTGCGAAGAACCTGAATAGCTACCTAAAAAGCCTTAGAAACAAAAGGAAGAAGCGCAGAAAGAGCAGCGCAAAGAGGGCAAGAGAGAAAGGTAGGCTCAAGAGCAACCTAAAAGGCCTGAGAGAAAGCCCAAGAAACGACCAAAAGCGCAAGAAGGAAAGTGGGGGGGGGGCAGGGAGGTGTATGTACATGTGTGTGTGTCCGTGTGTGTGTGTGTGTATGAATACTTAGCACTCTAGAGTTACTGACTACTTAGCAGAAGCGAATTACGTGCAGTAATTAGGGAGCGGGACTTTAGTCACTTTAGTCTTAGACCGCCCGGGTAGAGAAGACTAGAAAAGGGACAACAGAGGGAAAGGCACCGACACACAAGTGTGCCGAGTACCATTTCCCTCTGTTACCCTAATTAGGTAGGGAGTAGAACTCGGTCGGGGGGTTGGGAGACCTGCCTCCAGTGGGCTGAGTTCCGTTTTTTAGCCCGGCGGCTATGGTTGTTCACCGTGAAAGCCCGGCGGCTCTTTGTTCAGACAATTCAGTAGTGAAACAGTTGAACTGCAACTCATCCCATTCGTTCGGCACTTCATGATGTTGACCGTACAGCCACCTTACTCTCGAGTGACTGCTCTAGGAAAAGGTCGCATGGGCTCCTTCGTTCCCCCTTGCCACTTCAAGTGGTAGCGGAGCCCGAAAAGGGTTACCGTGGTAGGTAGGTTCGTTGCCGTCGTGCCATGTCATGGAAACCAAGCAGGTGCCGACGTCGAGCGGCGGGTAGCGAGGCGGACGAGCACGTCGGTGAGCGTGCGGGAGCGATGCCAGGGTCGGCTGGCAGTGAAGGGAAGGGGGCTGCGGCGGCGGTTAGCGCTGAAGCAGGTGAGCGAGAGCACTCGAGAGCAGAGCCCGTCGAGGAGCCAGCCGGTGTCTTGGGTGACGAGGTAGCAGCTAGTGTTGGGGGGTCTGAGGATCCATGGCTAGTTCACTCTGATCCTTGGTCGCGAGCTGGCGGAGACGGGAAGAGGTGGCGAAGCTGGGAGGATTCACACTACCAGTGGCATGGGGGCGACTGGTCCAGCAGTACGTGGTCATGGCAATGGGGGGCTAGTGATAGGCAGTGGGATTCCTGGTCTCCGTGGTGGTGGTCATGGCCCTCCGGTGGTACTTCATGGTCTTGGCATCACTCGGGTGAACCTGAAGATGGTGGTCAACCTTGGGTACCAGGTGGTGAAGGTGGTGTAGATCGACATGTACATGGTCTTCCAGGGGTTCAAGGTCAGGGCGACGATGGACGACCCCGCGTCGGTGAACGTCCTGGGGCTGTTGATGTGGCCTGGTACAATGACTCCAAGGTTGACGAAAGCTTAGAGATGAATCCGGCCGCTTGGCCGCCAGGGTCTTGGGAACACCATAGGTTAGATGATGAACCCAATGGGGAGGTCATGGAGACATCCCTGAAGAGTTCAAAGGGGTCATCTTCAGGTGCACGCAAGATTCCAAGCACATACCCTCCAGCCTTCAGCGCATCTCCCAGCGAGAGCTACATTGAGTGGAAGCGGTCCGTGAAGTGTTGGATCGCTGCAAAGGGAGGACAGTTGCCAGAAGAGGTCATGGGTCCTCGGTGTTTAGCCATGTTGAAGGGTCGCGCTAGTGTCATTGTCCGCCACTTGAAGATTGAGGAGGTGAGTCAGTCCGGCGGCTTAGATTTGGTCTTCCAGGCTCTTGAGAGTAGCCCCATGGTGATGGAATTGGATGGCCAACGCGGTGAAAAGGCACAGCGCGAGTTCCTGCGATGTCGGCGTCAAGCCGGTGAAAGCATGGAGAGCTTCCTGATGCGGGTGCAGGCTCAACGAGCCGTGATGGAGGAGGAGGACCCGACCTTCGCAGTGGGTGACTGGTTCCTTGTGGGCTACATCTTGGACCATGCTGAGCTCACGTTGAAGGACAGAGTCATGGTCCTTGCTGCAGCCCAGAATCAGATGTCCTCCGTTTGTGTCTTTCCTGCCCTGCGCCGCATGGGACCTTTCTTGCAGGGCACAGTGCCGATTGGGAAGGGAGTCATTGATGCTCCATTGCTTCCTGAGTTGCAGCCAGACCAACCATCATCCAAAACAGCCGCCGCCCATGAGGGCGGGCCTGAAGGCCGCCGTCCGTGGCAACCCTACAAGGTGAACGTCGTGGAGGACGTGAGTGGCTACAGCGGCGGGGAAGATGGTGATTTTGAGGAAGTGGCTGCGGTCTCAGTCCCTGAGGAACTGGAGGCCGCTACTCGTGCGGCTATGGCTGCCTTCTCGGCCTCACAGGCCAAACTTCGGGCTTTGAAGCAGGCCCGTGGTTACTTCCAGAAAACAGAACCATCTGTGCAGCCAGATCGTCGTGATCGCCTGAGGAAACTCATGCAAGAGAATCCATGCCGTGGATGCGGCCAGTATGGCCATTGGTCTAAGGACCCTGAGCGCCCCAAGAACGCCAAGAGTTCATCAGCGTCCTTGGTGACCACCCCAGCACAGTCTTCCGTTCCTTCTCCGGAGCAGCAGGCAGAGCATGCTGCAATGTCCGCAGTCTTAGAACAGATGATGCGGGACCAACAACAGGCAACGCCTCGAGCATATATGGCTGCGATGACTAGTTGGGAGGGTAGCACTTCGTTTTCGTCTGAGGACTTTGTGACCTTGGTGAACACCTCGGATGACTTGTTAGCAGCAAGAATGGTAGTGGATTTGGGGTGTTTGCGGACCGTGGCTGGGGTGAAGTGGGTGGTTCAGGAGATCGCTCGATGTCGTGCACAAGGTCGGTTTGTGGAAATTCGCAAAACATTGGATTATTTCAGGTTTGGCGATGGGGAGAGGCGACCATCTCATTACAGAGTGTTTTTGGAAGTAGGGTTGGCTCAGCATGTTGGATTGTTGGCGATCAACGCTGTTGAATACCCATGTCCTCCCTTACTCTCAAAAGGGGTGTGTTCGGCCTTGGGACTTCAGTTGGATTGCGGGTCAGGCCGGTTTGACCTGACGAAGATTGGGGTTCGTGGACAGCATTTCACTACCTCACAAGAAGGACATTTTTTGTTGAGCATTGATCATTTTCACCCGGCGTGGCCCCAATGGCAACAATTGTTGACAGCTGGCCATATTCCCAAAATCCAACATGAAGAGATCCAGTGTTTTGAGCTGCGTTCTGGAGAGCCAGTTGGACGAGGTGCTCGCCGCGCTCGCCCTCACAGCTCTCACGTAGCAGTTCGAACGACTGTGCATCCACCGAGCCCTTCACGTCCGGCCCCTTCGATCCATGGCGGCGCAACGTCGGGGTCCGAAGTGGAGCCAGTGGAGGAGGAGCCATCGCTGCATCGGAAGACAGCCCATGGCACCCGCCTGGACGAGAGCATGGAGAAACAAGCCACGGTCAAGGGCTATGCAACTACAGCCCAGGCCAAGAAGACCAAGGGCTCAGCGGCAGCGGCATCGACTCCGGAGGGCGGGACCGACCAGAAGAACCTCAAGAAGGTGTCAACCAAATCCTTGTCCAAGAAGGAGCAGATGCTGGCAGTGACGGGGCTCAATGCCGAGTTTCCGACTCTGGGGATGACCCTCAGCGGGGACGCAGTCTTCAATATGAGCTGGGTGATCCACGGTCGCCTGATCGTCCACAAGTGGAAGCAGCTCGTGTGGATGGTGCGCGCTCGGGATGCCCTGGAGGCGGAGGGGCGCCGCTACAAGCGCCACCCCCGCTGGTTGGCCATGATGTTCTCGCGAGAGACGGCAGCTCTTTGGGGACACCTCGGGGGCGCTGTGAAGACGCTGCAGTCGCCGCTGATGAAGTGAGAGTGAGCCAATCCATCACTGCACCACCACCGTCACAACATGCATGGAATCGAGGACAAGTGCAGCGGTTGAAACACAGCATCAAACAGGCAAAACATGCAATTACACAGTTGACATTGGTGGCCAAGTGCAGTGAGCAATCTTGTTGGAAGGTATTAGAAATTCTTGGTGGGAGCGCCAACTTGTCACTCATTGCCAAGTCGACAGGGAAATGGATTGCACTGGAGCCGGTAGATTTGATGTATGGGTCAGATTTGTTGACACCTCAAGAACAAGCATTGGTTCTTTCTCAACTAGATCAGTGGGAACCCGATTTGGTCTGTTTGGAACCCCCTTGTGGTGCGTGGTCTTCTTTGCAGAGCCTCAATCCTAGGAAGGACTTGTTGGAGTTCAAACGTGCACTTCATATGCCTTTTTGGACCTTTTCAGCTAAAGTATGGAAGAAACAGCATGCAGCAGGTCGTTTGGTGCTTTTGGAACAGCCATTGCGGAGTGCCGCTTTATCTCTTGATTGTATGCGTGATCGACCAGCAGTTTTCCGAGCGGTGGTAGATCAGTGTCAGTTTGAACTGAAAGATCCCATGACTTCCAAGTTGTATCGGAAACGCACTGCTTTAGACGTCAACTCAGAGATTTTTGCAGCAGCGCTCATGCATCACGGGCTTTGTTCATATGCACCCCACGAACATGAGGTCATTGAAGGTCAAACTTTTGTAGATGGCAAATGGGTCAATCGTTCCTTGGTGGCCGGCATGTGGACTCCGTGTTTTGCTCGTCACATCCTAGCGAGCGTAGCTTTGGCCTTGACAAACGCTTCTTGCTGGAAACAACAAGTGAGTGGCGTGAGCACCTTCGTCACAGATTTTGAGGAGGGTGGCACCGACTCACCCGTGTTACTAGAGACCAACTACCAGGCTCTGACTTGCGCTGGTGTGGGCTGCTACAACATCGGGGCCTCGTGGTGTTCAACCTGTAGGACAGGGTGGTGTGGGGAGTGTCGCGATCGGCATCCGTGTTTTCCTCATGATGAAGTCACCGCCGTGTCCGAACCTTGGGCACATGCAGCGCTCACAGCTGAAGAAGGGGATCGGGCTGAGGCTTGGTCAGAGCATGGGGTGGTGCCAGAAGACATGAAAACCGAATTAGCTGTTCGTCATCTTTTCAAACGCCTCCAACAAGAAGAAGAAGAAAGGAAGGGTGACTTCAGTGGGATTGGGAGTAGGTATGGATATTGCCATTTTGTTGGGCCTTCACTGAGGGTGAACAAGGCCATCAGAAATCAGGTGGCCAAACTGCATTCTACCCTGGGCCATCCTTCCAATGAACGGATGGCTCGGATGTTGAAGCTGCAGGGAGCTAAGTCCGAGGTGGTGCAAGCGGCTCGAGATCTCCGCTGTGAAGTATGTTCTAGAATCCACCCCACAGTCTCGGCCCCGAAGTCATCAGCCACGACTCCGGAAAGATTCAACGAACATTGCAGTCTGGACTCTTTTTTTTGTGCTGGATGCTGATGGTGTGCGCTGGAATGTGACTCATGTGGTCGACGGGTTTTGCTCTTTGCAGTACGCTGTTCTCTCCAAGAATCCCTCAGCACAGACTAGTTGCAGTCTTTTGTTCGATCGCTGGATCCTCGTTCATGGACCTCCGAAAGAGATCTCGGTAGATGGAGGCCCTGAATTCCGAGGCAAGTTTCCTTGCTTGTGCCAGTTGTTTGACATTCACATGCATGTCCATCCCACGTCAGCCAAGTGGAAGGCAGGTCTAGCTGAAAGGCATGGAGCTATTCTCAAGCTGATCTTCTTGCGCATGATCCATGAGCTAGTTCTCAACAAGGAAAGTTCCCTAAGCTATGCTCTGGCTATGGCGGTTCAGGCCAAGAATCGCCTCATAGGCGGTGTGGAAAATCACCAATTCAAGTAGTTCAAGGCCGTGATCAGGTCGTGCCCTCGTCCTTGTTGGAACAAGTTGATCGAGCTGAGGTGCGCTTTGCCTCCAACAGCCAGATTTTAGAAAATGAAGAGCACCAATCCATGGAGCGCATGCGGCAAGAAGCAGCCGCAGCCTTCCATTGGTTGGATTCACATGAGCGTCTCCGAATGGCTTTGAACAGTCGCAGTAGGCCTCCTCATTTGAAGGCTGATGCTTTAGCTGCAACCAGGCCAGAACAAGAGGCTGCAAGATTTTGCCACCGGCTATCAGGGACCGGCAGTTGTGGCATGTGCTGATGGGCCGGATCGACTTTGGGTTCGGTTCAAGGGCTCTGTTGTTCGGGTTGCTCTGGAAAACGTGCGCCTGGCTACGCCAGAAGAAGAAGTCGGGCCAAGCTTCATCATGGATGCCTTGAAGACTTTGGAGGAAGAGCTGACGGGTAACCGACGGCCTCCAGGCTATGAAGAAGAAGGAGAAAAGGCGGAAGCAGTTGAAACTGTTGGCCCCCGTTCAGGTGACCTTCCTTCCGGCGCCCCCAGCGAGACGCAGTTCCACTCAGGCATGACAGGGGTGGACCCGAAGGAAGGAGTCCTGGACACCGCGCCACCGGTCTCAACTGCTCCGGTACCTCAACCTACACCCGAAGTCGTGGCCTTGGCTAAGGAGTCAGCTGATCGTTGTCGCGTTCTAGATGGCTTGCCACGGAAATTTCGAGCTTCTCCTTATGAGCTTCAGCGCCCATCGACAGTGACAGAAAAGATCGAATTCTTTGAACGTGGTGGTGATGAAACCTGGAAATCCATCCTGTCCCAGGCCAGTGAGAAGAAACCATTGCCATCGGCACTTCAACGGTTCTCTGCCGAGAAGGATCTTCAGGCAGTCGACCATGCAATCGAACAAGGGTTGCAAGAGCATGTCCGACAACGTGATGGGGGCGGAGAATCCATGTTGAAGACACCTCGACTTGAGAATGACTCATCCTCTGCGATGCCTGTTGAAGCAGGGGTCAGTTCAGTTGGTCCGTGGGTCGCTGAGGTCAAGATGGCTTTGGAAGCATGGGCTCTGCAGTCTTCGACATCTCTGTCAGAAAGTGAGCGCATGAAGGCCATGATTGAAGAGTTCGATGGCCAACAAATCGAGCTTGAGCGGGTTAATCGGGCAGGACCAGAACCGGGACCTCGTGGAGAAATATACTTCAAGGACATGACCCCGACAGAACAAAGGTTGACCGTACCAGCGCTCATCAAGGCTCTGGACATTCATTTCCAGTATCAGGCTGTAGAGCCAGTCCCCTTGGATACCCCAATAGCCAAGGAGGCCACTCTGCAGAGCAGGTTTGTCATCGTGAACAAAAAGTGGCTCCAACGATTGTTTGGGCCCAAGGGACGGTTGTGTGTGGGGGGTCATCGAGATCCTCAAGCTGGAAAATATCCCACGTCATCTCCAACAGCTCAACTACTTGGGCATCACATTCTCCTGATAGTCATGGTTGGAAAGAAATGGAAGGGATATGGTGGAGACATCACTGCTGCCTTTTTGCAGGGAGAACCCCTTCCTCGGGACAAGCCGCTTTACATTTGGATGCCCAGAAAGCTGCCAGCAGGTGTTGTGTCGTATCTTGATGACAAGCCGAAGGGATACAGAACTGATCTCGTCAAAGTGGTGAAGGGCGTTTTTGGTTTGAACGAATCCCCTCGCTTGTGGTACTTAGGCCTTCGCAAACATTTGTGTGCCTTGGGATTTCGGGAACTGTCTTTAGCACCATGTGTCTTTGTTCTCCATGTGAAAGGGAAGCTTGAAGCTATGGCCACTGTTCATGTAGACGATGTTCTTCTAGCCGGCAGTGACTTGGCAGAACCTGTCTGGGAAGAACTCAAGACTCGTTTGACTTTTGGCAGCTGGAATTCCATGCTCGACGGCTTCAAGTTTTTGGGAAGACAAATTGTGCAGGACGCTTCCACTCTAGAGGTCACCACCAATATGATCGAGTACTGTGCTGACTTGGAAGAGGTGATCATCGACGCTCACCTTCCTGATCAACAACCTTTGACTGAGGCACAAGTGACGGACCTGAAATCCGCTGTCGGTAAGCTAAGTTGGGCAGCACGACAAAGTCGTCCTGACGTGTTGTTCTTAGTATCTTGGCTCCAACAAAGTTTTTCAGAACCTCAGGTGAAACACCTTCGGCAAGTGAACACCATCATTAAAGCTCTCAAGAAAGAGCTTCCCTTACGGTTTGTTCATTTGGGTTGCCCCTTGGAAGAGGCCATTTTTGTGGTTTCCTCGGATGGAGCCTATGGCTCGATGCCCGGAGGACGTTCTCAGCAAGGTTGGTTGGTTGGATTAGCAAACCCTGCCATCAAAGATGGCGGTGCTCGCATGAATCTGATCGAATGGCAAAGCACGTCATGTAAGCGGGTTGTGCGGTCTTCCATGGCCATTGAAGCCTGTGCTGCCTCTTTGGCTTTTGAACATGGAGAATACATCCGTGACCTGTTTTGTGAAGTGATGTGTAGCGATTTTGAAGTGAAGCGGTGGGGACATTTTGTCCGTTTGTGGGAACTGATTCTTGTTCTTGATGCCAAAACGGCTTTTGATACTCTTCAGACTGACAGTCTCCCGCAAGACCGCCGCACGGCTTTGGATTTGTTGGCCATAAAGGAATCTTTGTTGAATGAAGCCAATCGGGCTTTGTGTCGTTGGGTTCCTGGTCCACAACAGTTAGCCGATAGCCTTACCAAAGACAAAGGCAATAGAATCCTCCCAGACTTTTTAGAGTCCAACGAATGGTGTCTCCAGGAAGATGTCTCATGGCAGGAACAGAGGGCTCGTCAGAGGGCCACTCAGAAGGTCTACAAAGACCGTGTGAAGACGCTTCGTCTTGAGGCAACCCAGGGAGGTACCGGGGTGAGTTGAACTGCAACTCATCCCATTCGTTCGGCACTTCATGATGTTGACCGTACAGCCACCTTACTCTCGAGTGACTGCTCTAGGAAAAGGTCGCATGGGCTCCTTCGTTCCCCCTTGCCACTTCAGGTGAAACAAAGTCGGTTAAGAAAATCCAACGAGTGGTGGAAACGAAGAATCAGTAATACAAATTTCGGAATGATTGCAGCGCCTCCTTGTGGAGGATCACACCCAGCACCCAAGTGGGACGGCTGAGCGGCTCACACTCTGACATTGGTTTGCTGTTAACTCAATTCCCACGTTGAGAAGGAAGGTGAGGGAAACGCAAGGTGAAAGGGTCAGCGCACTTGTATTGTTTGAACAAACTGTTGACATGTCTGCAGTGGCGAACTTCGACGCGGCTCAGCTGCAGTGCAAAAGGTAGGAGAAAAGGTTTGGGGGACGTATCATGAAGAACCATGAAGCAAAACGTGGAGAGTGGAGTCACAGCTTGTGCAACCGTTAGTCGCAGGTACGTCGATTTGGCGTCCCAAATCGATTTCACAGATGCAGCACTGGCGTCTTCGTTGGTGCCAGTCCAGTGTGCATCCCTGGCACCCCCTGCTGAAGAAGCATTCAAAACCACAAACAAGGTGGAACCCTTAGGTACAGGGGTTGACACACACACACACACACACCCTTTAACTCACCTACCTCAAGCCTTGCCTATCGGACTATCGGCTGGCTTTCGTGATATTGAATATCACCAAATCATTGCAAGTCTTGACGCTACCACCAGGATTTCGGCAAGGTGCACCCTGATGGATGTTGTGTTTGCTAAGGAAGCCTCCGTGTACACACAGTGTGCCCACAAACTTCGAGTCATAGCAAAGGAGTGGTTATTTGTAATAACAGATGAGAATAGAATGGCCACTGACAACAAAATGGTTCAATTTTGTTGTTCGCACCTATGAGCCTGCGTAGCCTGTCAGTATTTGTAATGACTCTTGCACAGGTGGGTAAAGCAGAACTGGATAGAATTAGTATGATGCTCTAATGACTCCACAACCACCGCTGTGATTGGCCTGAAGCTTGGTCAGCCCAAGGAGCTCTGACATGTCGCCAATCCTTGCCAAACAACTACTTGAATATTACAGTTCCGACACCACCAACATTATGTAAGAGCCCAACTTGCTGGCTGCTCCATTTCCGTTGGCAGCCATCAAGGCAACGGTCACCTGTGCGGTGACCCTCCTTCACAAACTTATCCTTCTTGTCCACCAATTCAAAAGCTCGTGCTTCTATGGCCGCACGATTTGATCTCACCCACCTCTTCGGCAGCTGCAATCTTGGGCCCCGGGGGAAGCTGTATTTCGCCCGATTCCCAAACTAGTGGAGCAAATGCCAAACCGAAAGAAGAATGAGGCGGTAAGAAGCGTGCGCTATGCTGGATGAAGGACAGCTTGGTGCAAGAGGAACAATATGGAAAAACTGCAACATCCTCACGGTAGGTTCGAGCACTGGTTTGTTGCACTAGCGGTTCTAAAATGGTTTGCGCTGATTGTTGCCCAAGCACTGCACATAAGTTTAAGCTTAAGCTTAAGCTATTTGTGACTTGGACGATCACAAAATGGTGCAAAGAAAAAGTACTCTTTTCTCCACAGGGGATGCCGTCATCGTTCGAATGACATCGGCAAATTGCCTGCCAAGGGCGCCCCGGCCCACGGAGTCCGCAAGCTCCAACAAGAAACCAGGAGCTTGCGACAATCGAAATTCGAAACATGGCGTGGTGATTAGTCGTGGAAGAATGCATCTTGATTGGATGTCCAACCAAATCCAAATCAAAGATCAGTAATTGAAGGAAGCTAAGCACATCCAACAATTTCCTACAAAAGACTTGAGAGGGAAAGCGAGAACAAATCGGAACGCAATACTAGTACTGGCTGAGTGCACACTCTTGAACACTACAACCATTCACAACTCTCGGTTTCAACGGTCATGCTTAAGCGGATATGTTGCTGGAAGAACCATTCCAGCACTCATCTGTAAAAGAACGATCGGCAATCCAAGCGAGGGTGTGCTCTCTGATGCTTCAGCGCCGGCTTAGATGATAATACACACAGATTGGAAACTTTGTTCGCTAAACTTGGTGAATCACTCAAATGACGACTGTGATTTGTGAATTTGATCGGGCCTGCCCAATTCAGCATTGAATCAAATCGTTGGTTCTGTCATTTGCAGTGATCAATCAATTCGATCCCCTGCTATCAATTCTAACTCTCCCTTCCCTTCGTGAACGAGAACTTCAGTAAACAATAGCAAAACCGACTTCATAGCTCGCTTTCGTATATGCAAAGCGGACAGGAGTCGTGCATCCTTTTCTGCAGCCAGAATTACGCCTCAAGTGCGCTGTTGGGTCTTGAAAAGCCTGCCCACTCAGTTTCAGTCGCAAAGTACCTGAGTTCAGTTTCGATTCTTGCATAACAAGCGACTGGTCCGGCACGAGGGCCAAATCCAGATCCAGACTCGACATCAATCAAAACAAGCTGGGATTGATTATGGCACCGTGCTGTATTTTGGAATATATTATATAAGACAATTTATTGAATGGAAGATCAATTTTTCGAGGAAAATGCAGGCAACAGCAAATGGAAGAAATACCCTGTAGCATAAAGTAGGTGTTCAATTTCTTCCATTTGTACTAAAGGCTTGCTCTGTCATTAGGACACCTGAGAGAAATGGCAGGGAGAGACTGTTTTTTCCTTCTGCCTTCTTCCTTCTTTCTTTTTCCTTCTTCCTTCTCTCTCTTTTTTTGACAGGAAAATAAACCACCTGCAACCATTCAAATGGAAGAAATCGGAACATGGATATGGCTCCGGGTATTTCTTCCATTTCATCTGGCCTCGGGCCATTTTCCGACCCCACATCAAATGGAAGATCGGGAACTTGTTGGTGCAGATCATTTCTTCCAAAATACAGCACGGTACTATACATGCAGTTCTCCCTCGCGAGCGCAATTGATGAGCGTAAGGGCATGCAAAGGCTCACATTGTATGCCATCCATAGTTGGCTCTTTCAGTACTAAAACCGCTCGGCCTGTATGTACTTATATAATACTTACACAAACAATAATAAGCATAATTTCTTGGAACAGGGACCAGGGACGTGACAAAAGCCCTGATGCATCGATGGTCCAACACCATGCACGGCATTGACAACAGCATGCAAATGGTTCAAACACCTAAGGCTTCGCCCAACACCACAGCAGAGTTGCTAGATTCGGGCTCTGATTGCACGGACATTTGCATAGCTTAAGGCTCATGCTATGTATACGGGCCATTTCAACCAAGAGTCATTCATTTCACTGTCCTCAATGAAGTTCACTTGTCCATCCTCCTCGAATCTGATCTCAAATCAGAGAGAAAGTCGTTACCGTCAGGATTTCCATCGCCATAGCCTGAAAATATCAATCCAGTATGACAGGACGGAGAACATCCTTAAGTTCAACCTGAAACTCTCATAGATGGCTAAAGGGCATCGCTACCAGTAGCTCCTGGCATCACTACTAGTAACAAGAAGCTACTAGTAACAAACAGTCTCTCTCTCAGCTGTGAGCTCACACTAAGGGTACGACCGTGTGATCCGATAGGGCCAAACATGCCAAAGGGCGAAGAAAAAAGGGAGCTTGCCGGTGGAGGCTCATTAAACATACCCAAGCGATTGGATGCATCAGGATTGGAGTAAAACTCCTGCTCAGGCATTGGGGGCATCCCTGGAATTGAACTTGGGCCTGGACGCTGTAGCCCCAGTGCTCGTTGAGGCGGCATTGGCTGCTTTGGCGAAATGCCAGGTGGAAATCCAATGGCACCCAGGCCATTTCCGGGCTGCAAACCTCCAAAGTCCAAACCGGGAGCTCCCAACCCAGTTCCTCCGAAAAAGCTGTCGGTCCCCAAACCTTGGACGGCTGAAACAGCGGCTGCCTCTGCAGGGGCCAGGGCTGAGTCGGGAGGAAAAGCGTTGGCAATGCCCGGGGGAGGCAGGACAGGTTGCGGCGATAGTCCTGGGGCAGGCCCTGTCAACAACAGGCCCAGGTCGATTCCGGGAGGAGGACGCTGAATATTCCTCATGCTTGGATCCATCTCGGCAGGAGGAGCTGGGCTTATGGCTTTTGGCTTCACACTCGTCACGAGGGAGCCACAGGGGGCAGGTGGTGGTGGAATGGAAGGAGGTGGTGGCAGTGCCATGGCTGTTGAATCTTCTGCCGCAGGTGGCTGACCCACGAAGTCCACAGTTGACGACTTGTTGTCTGCCCACATGGAGTTCAGTGGGACAGCTGGCGGCGCCGGCGTTTGCGCAGGTGGCTGTGCCGGTGGAAGGGTGGGTGGCTGCAAGGGTGGGTGCGCAGGTGGTTGTTGCTGCGGATGGGTCTTTTTCTCGGGTGGAGGTGGAAGCTGCTGAGGCTGTGCAGGAGGCACAGCTGGAGGATGTGCTGGCGGTTGTTTAGAGAAAGTCGGTAGTGCTTTAGCTTTCCCGTGCTCCTTCTTTTTTGGACCACACGTGACGTCTCCATCCGCTGGTGGAGCACTGGGGGCAGCATGGAGTGCGCTGGCCGTCGTGCGCTGTCCGTACGGTGGCCGCTTTTCCCTCGGCATCTCGGCTTTTTTGCTCTCGGCATCTCGGCTCTCGGCTTCCCTTCGGCGCTCTTCATCTCGTTCATCACGCTTCCTCTCCTCAATTCGCGCTTCTTCTCCTCGTGCCCGGGCATTCGAAGGACCTTGACTCGTGTGGCTCGGTGCTTGACTCCCACTGTGACTCGCTTGCGGCTTGGCTTGTGGTGATTCTGTGTCCTTCTCTTTCTTCTTGGCCTTTACCTCGTCGACTTTGGATTGCGAGGGCCGCCTCTCGCCCACAGGAGTCTGATTTGCAGGTGGTGGTGGTGGTGGTGGTGGTGATTTTGCAGCACTAGTGCCAGATTTGGTGCTGGTGACGCTTGGCGCAACACTTGGTGCAGGCTGATTTGGCTGCGCATTTTGTTCCTTCTGAGTTTTTGTTCCTTCTTTCTGGGGCTTTGGCTGCTTGGCTTGAGGCTGACTCTTTGACACCTGAGCCTTCGGCTGCGACTTTGACTTTGGTTGCGGCCCGGCCGGCCCTTGGTTCTCTGGCCTTTGGAGCTGATGTTGCAAGTGCTGCTGCAAATGTTGTTGCTGCAACTGCTGCAGTTGCTGCAGTTGTTGTAGCTGTTGCTGGAGCTGTTGCTGTTGCTCCTTGAGCTGCTCTTGCTGTGAGACATCAAGTTGGCCGCTTTGTGCAGATGTTCTGGATGTGCTCTGAACTGAAGCGTTCGGAGCGTTCTGTGGTTGGACCTGTGCTGCGGGGTTTGGCCCAGCATTTTGCGGCTGCGCCTGGGACCTCACAATAGGAGAAAACATGAGAAATGCGATAGCACTCACATGACTTGCCAACAGTACGGCTAAGTTGCTTGATGGTAGTGCCAATGCTGAGGCGGCAGCTGTCCAGGTTCTTCACTTTGGCGCTGTGGCTCCTTTTCCTGCAGCCATTCCAACCCTCCCACCAAACAGTAAATGCGCAGCGCATGCGGGATGCAATTGAAGGCCACCTCTTTTTACAACGAACCATGCGTGATCATGCATGACAACCCCCCAGGATCCAAGTTGTTCTCACCATTGGATCCACTGAGAACTACTGTCCTGCACACCAGCCAAGGTATCGATACTTGTCCAAGACAACCTGACAAACAGGCGTGCCGAGTGTCAATCAACCGAACTTGCAAGTCGAGAGTCGGGAGTTTTACCGAGTAACTTCTAGCTATTAGTAGTTTCTAGCTATAAAATAGTAATTAGTATATAGCACGCGTGAAGAATGTTTTGTTTTCCGACTTCGAAAGGAGCAATGACTGGAAACCATCCTGTCTCCTGTCCTTCCTTGCAGTGTGCCCCTGTCACACACACACACACACTTACACTTACACACTTCGGCAATGCGTACTGAACTGAATGCCGCTCGCCACACGGCAACCTAGGCACTCAAATCCTGAGATTGCCAAGTAAGAAGTCTGAGGATCCTGGAGGTACAATAAAAGAAAGGCGAGGCCCAAATCTCAAATGTAAAGCCGACGATAACGAAACGACAAGGTAACGACGTCCGTGCACACCTGCCAAAGACGTTAGCCCTTGATGGAAGATGAGAGTGACAGCTTGTGAGCACCACAACCAAGCAGGTACGTCCAGAAGGCGCCCCGCTGCAATGTGGGATTGCACCCCTTCTGTAACACATTCAACGGAATCCCTATGACTCCAACGGGTTTACACACACGCCCCCTGTAGAGGGGAGCAACATTTAGGACTACAGTAATGACTAAAGGTCCGGCTAAGGTGTAAGAGCTGTGGCCCCCTGCTTAGAAACATGAATTCGTGGTGGAAAGCCCTTCGGGACAGTGTTTGACACACACACACACACACCCGCGCGCTCGCAAAGTAGGTCAACATGTGTGCGTGAATGGTTGTTACTGCGACAATATCTCAATGTGTGCCACTCTGTACCTGTGAGCCTGCATAGTTGCACGTACGAGTATGTTGCAACGGTTTGAGCATTTTGATTGACAACGGAGAGCCAATTCACAGGCACCCATCCTCCCCTCTATTCTTTGCAGACCAAACACATTGAAATAACTTCTCCAATTCGAGCTGCGGGTGAAGCTTCCGAGGCCCCATTGAACCTGGAGCGTCTCAACTAAATTCACCAGCCTCACATGCACTGCACTAACTAAATCCTGAGAATGCGGCAATTTGGACAGTTGTCCTGGGTGCAAGTTCAGCATTGGGATGGTTAGGGAGTGATGTTGAGGCCATATTTAGGTCGCTCTCATGTACGCTTGCCTGATGATACAGGTATCTTCCAGGCGCGGAAACTGTCCAGTGCCACAACAGCCTCGAACACTTCAGAAAAACTGGAAAAGTTGCGAGTGAAGGGAGCACCAAATCAATTTACAACTTCCTTACGAGTGCAACAGTGCCGCCAAAGTTGCAAGCATCATGGTTAGCACGGCCGTTGCTGTGAGAACAACCACTTTGCGCAATGAGGCTTCAGTTTGGTCACCCAATATTTGTAGAGACCTGCGTCTTTCAAGATCGAACACGGATCTGCTGAGGCCAAGGAACATATATACATTCTCGGGTTGCAACGTTTGTGCTGCGTATTGACACACATCTTCACGAACAAGGGAGCAATTTGTAAATATTTGTATTGTTTCACAAATGTACCGAGTGCAGGCCAAAGGTTTTGACGAACCTTGACCACTAATTATTGTGAGTCACAGAGTGGTAAAACCAAGCAGCAAGGCAATGCCAATGCATACTCCAAACAACAATACCAAGTGCTGGTCTGTTGAAACATCAAAAGAATCAAAGCTTCGGTTCTTACTGTCCTTAGAAGTTTAGTCTGCCAATCCTTCCACACATACGCTCCATCATGAGCATCCTTCTAGTGCAATTATCAATCACCTGTCAGAGACCCCTTGCACCTGGCTACAATGGGATGGGAGTATGTATGTATATATAATATATATATATTATCATTGTCACTTGCCTGTTTGGTTGCTTATTATTGGAACCATTCATTGCAACCCAATAGATTTGATAGATCCGTGCAATGCCTATGACTTGAGGCCATCTGTATCATAATAATACACATCTATGGCCGATCCATAACTCCCCAACGGCGGAATCGGGGAGTTGGCCCGTGCAATACTAGAGATCCAGCAAGCATGTCTATCATGTTGGGCGCCGATTACTGAATAGAACGCGTTCGATTTTAGTGGTGGGTTCGACATGTTCAACAGCCAATGGGCCGAGGGCCAAAGCCAACCCTTGACTGCCTTCACTTTAGACGCTCAGGTCTCAAAAATCAACGAGTCCCATCCCACAGGTCAACATCCACATTATCAAAGCGGCGTAGGTAAGTCGCTCAGCATTGGCAGGAGCTCTGGCTGAAGATTGACACGAAGTGGAACCTGGAGGTGAGCTTTTGGGAGGCTCTACCTACGTGCCAATGGGTCCGCAGGATTCCGCAGGTTGAGGTGACAATGCTCAGTTGACCTCTCTGACCGCCCAACGTGCCTGAAGAACCAATCGCCCCGAGGCACTGAGGAATCGAAGATTTTGAGCCTTGGCTTGTGCCCGACACCTTTCCGTGCGACTGAAGATCATCTCGGTATAGGTGACCCAAATTGGAGAGAATCATATCATCCTGCACAACTCCAACTTTTCCACCATGCAGGCATTAGTCTGGGAATGCCCATCATTTTGGCTGTAGGCTGTACACTTTACACCGCAGCCGGCTCTTGTGGCCGATCAGGCAACGGATATTTTGTATTCTTCTGTTGGCTACTCTTGAATGAAGTGCGAAAAATGTGAAACATATAGCGTTCTGTACTGATCAACAATGCATCTATATTCACACAATCTCCTTTCGCGTAGAAAGGGCCCTTGTCCAACAGAAACATCACGTGAAGCATCCCTCGGTAGCAAATGAAGTAAAGATAGCATGCAATCAGTGGCCAGAATTGGATACATTCCGTTGTGTCTTCATACATCTTCGTGGGGTAGCCGATCAGTGCCAATCCCAGAAGAATGTTGGTTACTACAACCATCATGACACGCACCATCTGGCTGATCCGCAGGTCTTGCATGTCGCTCAGCTGGGCCAGAATTCCACGCAGTTCGCAAATCTTTCGCATGAAGACGTCGGAGTCTGAACTCTGAACCCATCCACGTTCAAGCTCGTCATGCCACAATGTGCCCAGCCATGAAACCAGGGTGTCTCGTAACTTGGTACCTGCAAACTGAAGCTGCTGGCACTCGGCCTCCTTCAGAAGCCCAGCAGTGCGTAGGTCTTGAAGAACTTCATCCCCAGAGGCTCCAATGCTTGGTGCCAGCTTGAAATAGCCCAAATAATGAATTGCATTGAGATATCTGTACCACTTGAAAAGCATCTGGCGCTGCTGTTTTCCAATCTGTGGATCGTTCACCTTCCGATAAGAAGTGGCAACCACAAGCCCCACATCATGCAGCCGTCCTTGCACGCGGAACATAGTTCGAAGCCATTCGAGCCAGCGAGTTACATCTTGCCCAATCATGTAGGTAATGAAGAAGGTCGGCAAAAACTTGAAGTCATCGATCAAAACTGTTACGGTTTGCATGTCTGAAAGCCAGTTGGTGTACCAGTCTTCCACTTGAAGAAGCGGATCTACTTGCTTGTTGTTTTCCTTCGTGGCCCGAACTTCAGCCAAAAGTGCACCAACCATGCCAGTCGCCAAAGCAAAGGTGAGCGCACTAACAGCAATGTTTGCGAGGCCGGATGTGACAATGTAAATGAGGACCTGCAGGCTGCTGTGGAAGTATTGACGAAAACATGACGAAGCTTGTGGAGGAATCATGGCCCGGCCAGAGTCTTCACAAAAGTCTTCCTCATCACGGAAAAAGCTCATAAATCCCATAGAACCTTTCAAAAGGGCCATCTTCACTTCAACGAAGGATGCGCTTCTTGAGGCAACAAGTTTGGAGGTGAAATCTGGAGTCGTGTAACTGGCACGATCATTCATGCGTCTCTGAATGTCACTGAGATCCGTGGGCTCCCAGTTCGGGTTCTGGGCTGGCGGCCTGGTACACCATCGCTTGCAGGCCTTTAGGCTCTTGAGCAAATACTTCTCCGTAAAGGCCACCGTCACAGCAGCCAGGAAAAATAAGTAGAAGGTTGGAAAGCACCCCGACATGGGAGGGAATTCACGGATAAAATCCACTTGCTTGCTGAATCTGATCCAGCCTCCCCACTTAGAACTTCCGGTCTCTTGCAACCACCTGCAGGCGGCTTGATAAGCATCACCATCATGCTGCCGCCAAAGATCAAAGAGTCTGTCATAGCTCTCCTTGTCAAGGCGGAAGCGCTCGGCAAAATATGCTGCGTCTCCTTCTGTCACGAATGCTGGGGAGGCAACGATCAGCAAGCGCTTGGCTTCAAGATGGCAACTGAAGCCGCCGTCAGGAGAAGAGCTTTCGGTGGAGTTGCATCCATACCGCTTGGGTGAAAATTGGATGGGCACGAAAGCACTGCTTGGGACACCGTCAACTCCCTCAGATGGGAAGTGGTGCTGGAACAAAATATTTCTTTTTGATGCAAAGGCATTCCATACTGCTACCTGCTTGGAAAGTGGGGTCAAGTAAACAGTAGACAGTGGCAATCCATTGTTGGCAATTTGTTGCTCCATCACCCCCTGGCTGTAGTGAGGATAATCGTGCAACACCTGACCCACGCAGCGGACCTCCTCTCTACAATGCGGGGGTTGCCACACAAAGTCAGTGCAGTTCCACCTTTGATCTCTGCAAAGGTTGCCCGGATCAGCAAATGACTCTCCTTGCTGAAATGCATCACTCGCAAACACCCATGACATCTGTGGAGTTTGTAGATACTGGTAAAATTCTGCTTCAGGGAAGCGGTCAATTGTGTGCTTCAGTGTGTGTATGCCGTCATATGCAAGCATGGAGTGGCTGCCCACAACCTCTGCTGAATCACTTCGAACCCATCGTTGTAGCTCCTCTGCTTTCCCTCCTTGCCACACCTCAAAGTTCACATCTGCCTCCCCAAGGGACAAGGCTCTGAAATCATCAAGGGGAGAGGTTTTAGGTCGGTGCCATTCAACATCGTACATCAGGACATTCTCCAGAAGAATGGATGCAACTTCAGACACCAATTCATGAGAAACCCAAGCACGTCTCATGATTTTGAGCGTCTTCTGCTGCTTTGGCCTCGCTGGAATGTCCAAAGAACATTTCTTTGCAGCCCCAACGCCAACGACTGCAAACTGAATTGTGAACCATAGGAGCCGACTCATGTGTGTCCACGTCAACACGGTCGGCCGAAAAAAACTACTTGCATCTATTTGTCACGTTCGGACAGTTGACTTATGAATTGAGCCGACAAAAGATCGAAAGCAACATAAAGCAACCAATGCCACCAAAGGAAGCTTGAAAGGCTGCGAAACGACTTGCAATCGCGAATCGTGACTGTGGTTCGCCTCGGCCGGAGGCCTAAGGTGCAACCCACAATAACACTGAAAATCCAAGGGCTGAACCCAGCGCGAGGCAACAACTTCTGGCGTAAAGGAAACCATGAAGGCAACGGATTCGCGCGGCGCGACTGTGATCGGTAGCTGGCAATCTTGCACCTGCAAAGTATTGGCCCGTGACGAGTGAGCATTGACAGCTTGGAATCGGAAGGATGGAATATGGAGGTGGACGACCATTTCTGGCCGGGGTTACAAAATTCCTGCAAACGCGGTGAGCCATATTTCCCGTGCCTCAAAGCCGAAGGCGCTACATCCTGGGATGCCACCAATGTCGATCTGGGCCACCTCATAGTGTCAAGCGCACAAACATCCCGCTGCATTCTCCCAAGACGTCCAGGTGAGACATGCTGCTCGTGCAACAACACCACAAGCAAAGCCACCTCAACGGGGAGCTCACAGTCGTTTGTAGCGACAATGCTGCGCGTCACGGCCAGGCGGCGTTGCCGCCACCATGGCTTGGACCTCAAGTGTTGTAAGTCTGGCTTCGAACAAGGCAAACAAACACTGAAGATGGACTCAGAAGGACCTTTTGAAAAGCATGCTGCCATGCGACCCTTTCTCACTGTCCTCGACTGCACCTGAAGGCAAGCGAAAAAAGGCTCTGTGGTCCGCAACTTCCCTTCGAAGGATCGGCTTCTAGATGTTGCCGAGATGCTTTCTGTTTGGTTTGCGGTCATCCAGGAAAGCCACCCAGACTTGCTGACGTAGAGATCATCCTGACGTTTGCAAAAATGATGGGAAACACGTAAACATAGGACGTAGGAATGTTTGCGCATGTTTGCACAACTTAGTTGTCACTCCCAGCAAAACAAGACAGGGTCCCTTCAACGCCCCTCAGAATCCTATTTTTTGATCCCTCGTCATCGTTTTCATCCTTTGCATGACATTCTCATCGGTTTCACCAAAAAAACATAGGTTTCACAGCATTGTCATCGAATCAAATCACCATATCGTTGAGTTGGGGTCGGGGTGGAGTGGTACAAGTAGGGGGGCATCTTAACATTATCGGATCATGAGATTGTCAAGCAACTTGACTTTACCGTGGTCTAACGACAAAAAGGAGTGCGAGTGCTGGGCATGTGGTCTTGGAGGTCATGTTTGCATGTTGCAGACTTGTTGGGCTACTTGTCCAAAACTTTTTGGAGGTTTTAATAAGATTTGATTTAGTAAGATTTAATAAGCACATTAAGCACATCCAAAAAATCAATGTAGCGTTTCAAACCACAGGGCCGCGAAAAGGGCATTCTGCGGTGCAAATCTCTACCTAGTCAGGCATGTTTGATGGCCGAGCATCTGATTCATTCAATCTGAGTTTGCCAAGGTTTTGCAAACCTGCAAACTAAATGCGCATGGGCATGGCAGGTCAGGGTGATCAATATGGTGTACGCCGCGGTTGTTTTTGATCAAACCTGTTGACTGACCTGACCCATCTTCCTCTTCAGCAAAATCTGAGATCGTCAAATTGAATTCCTCAGCTTCTGTCGCTGGAAGCGGTCACAACGGTCACAACACAATCAACACATATATTCGCCCCGTCATCGCCAGTCAAACCTCCCAACCCGAGAATGCAACATCACCCTTTGGGGCAGAGTTCTCCACAATATGTTGATCTTCGTTTGTGCCAAGCAGCTAGGACCCCTTCAGGAAACACTAGCCGGCTCGAGCCACCATGTCCATTCAGCTCCACTGGATGCAAGGTGGTGAGGTTGTTTCGCACATAGAGTGTGGTCCGGAACCTAGCAAAAATAGCAACCAAAAAAACTATATTATGCACATAAAGAGACTGAGAGAGAGAGAGGGGAAAAAAAACAAACAAACAAAAGTACATATTTATCATATTTTCATATCAAACATACCAATAAAGACTTCAAAACCCCAAAAGTTCAAAAGGCCAAACAAACCGCAAAGAACTGCGTGCTGCTGGGAAGCTGCGCGTGCTGGAAAGGCTCGAAAATGACTGGTCCTATTGAAGCTTCGCCATATGGTTCCACATGCCAGATCTGTCAGCGCAGGCAGCGGGCTCCACAAATTAAAAGAAGGATTCACTTCATATGCGAGCAAACCATCGACTCGAACGCGCTTCTTGTGTGCTGGCGCGACCGAACTTCAACAAGTAACCAATAATAGCCTCCAATGAGTCCCTGGATATAAATCAATCATTCGGCTGACTGAAGGAGCAACATGGTGCCTGTCCCTCCGCTTCTGGCCCCAAATGAAAAGCTCGTCCACCCTCGCAGTCTGCCGCCAGAGCTGAAGACCAGGTTGCGTCCTCCAGAACGCAGAGTCCAATTCATGATCCAAAATGATAGCCCATGCCTTAGCATACCTATACCCTCAATACCGGCAAGAATAATAATGTATTATATATTCCTGGTGCCTTCCAGTCTGAATTCAAACTATTATTCTTGGGACTCAGCAGTTCGTGGGATAATATTTTGAAGCAATTTATATGATAGCAAATGGTATACCCCAGGCATCATGGAATAGTTATTTGAACAATACATACAATATTTAAGAATTGTACAATCTCTCTAGTAGGATGCCTGAAGACTATGACCAAATCCATGAGATAAGCTTTTCAGGCTGAAACCAGTTTTGCAATATTCTTTCTCCTCAACCCCACAAGCATCTTCTGTCTGAGTCTATTTTTTGCAAATCTTGATGAGGTGCAAATCATCACAGATACTGCTTCACTTGAGCAGCAAGTTACCAAAAAAAAGGTACAAAGTTCATCAAACTCAAAGCAGTAGTGTCCAGCAATCTCTATATACAATACATTGCTAAGCTTCTATGTGATAATTATTCTGGCACACCATAAGCCGCATACCTATGCAGGAAAATTATTCCAGAAAAATTATTCCAGCAACTGACGGTACCCCCAGGAATAATTTCCCAAGGTATGGGGTATCAAACATGTGTGCCTGTCTGTCTCCCTCCTTCCTCCCTGGCTGGCTGGCCGGCTGGCTAGCTCGCTGGCTGGCTGGCTGTCTGTCTGCCTGCCTGTTTGCATAGGTCTACGTATGTCAGTATGTCTATGTATGTATATTTATGCGTGTATGTGTATGCGCATGCATCTGCATCTGTGTGTGCATGTGTGCGTGTAGGTGTATATGTGTATGTGTGTATGTGTCCGTCTGTCTGTCTCTGTCTCTGTCTCTGTCTGTATGTATGTTTGTATGCATGTGTGTGCATGTGTATGTGCAGGGAGCCCGCTGGCCAGGTCACAGAAATCTTCGCGTTTGCCAGGTTTGGTCCAGGCCAGGCTTCCCACACACAGCCCAGTTGGACGATCACCTTCACCTTGACATGCGTGGCCAGTGTGCAGAGACCATGAAAGAAAGCTCCGGCTTTGGTACCCGGGCGCAATTCCAACGATGGTCCCTTTGTGTATCTCACGCCAGGCCGTGATGGGGGTGGATGTCGGTGGGTTCAAGGTTGAGCCAGCCATGCCTCACGACGACTCCATTGATCATGGTGCCCCCTTTGGGGGCCAGAACAATAGTTTGTTATCCACGAGATGTTGGCCCAGTCCCTGGTTGGCCCAACCCTTTCCATGTGATTTCATCCCAGTAGCTGTCCGGGTGGTCTGGACATGGTCCACCATGCAGCTTCCTTCCCGTATCTCAGCCTTTGGGACTTCAGCCACAAAATGTGAAGCATCACCTTCAACATCCTTCCATGGAACATTCAGCTTTGGAGGTCCACCTTCCGCAAGCTCCAGTGAAGCTTGGACTGCGTCTTTGATAGCGCCGCAGGGCCCCACGGTTCTCTGTTGAACTCAGCCACAGGCACACATCCCAGTGAAAGCTCGCCAAGAGCGTTTGCCAACTGGTTCCGAAGCAGAAGGTCTGTGGAGGCAACTGCATCATAGGATCACCACCCCTTTGCAGGCGGGACCTCCTGATGTGTAACTCATAATTTCCTATGGTATTGACCTGTCAAACGTAATATTACAGGTTTCAAGTAGACCGATGGCGCACCTGAAAATTGCAATATAAACTATAATTTTCAGGCATGCGTATGAGCCAACGTAGGAACCTCCCCTTTCTTCAGCTTACATGTTTTAAGAACATGTAAGTTACATTTTTCAGGCTGGGAGATCTGTGCACTGAACGCATGAAAGGGAAAAGTATAAGCTGATGATGTGAGGCCAATGAAAAAGCGTGCGCACATTCGCAAAGTGGCAAGAAACCACAGCATGTGCACATATCATCCTTTACTTTGTTTGTTGCTTCTCTTCTACTCTACTGGAGAATGAATTCATGGACACGTGCCTGTTATTCTGCCTCTCTCCTTTTCAAAGTTACATGTGATCACCCCCCTCAAAATATAGGAAGTGAAGTGGGGAGGACCTCAAAAAATGTATGTTACATTTTTCACCACCTCCCCCAATCTGTTTTTTTATGTACCGGTGTATGCTTGTTGTTTCAGTCATTGCTGGGAATGTTATGAATCTGACCTGGATATTCTCCCGTACAACGCCAAATCTTTGGGGGGAGAACGTCCCTGACTGTAGTTCTAGAGATTCCTTGGCAATTCCTGCGGTGGCCCCCCCTTCAACGTGATATCGATTTTTGCCTCGGCAGGTCACCTCATATACATTTTTAACCACCTCAAAAAATGTAAGTTTCACATTACGAGGCCCCCTCCAATTTTGAAGGTTAAGGAGGGGTGATACCGGGCCAGCCGCAAGAGGACTGGGCCAAGGGGCGAAGCGGCCTTCAAGGCTAGGCTGCCATGTGTCAGCTTGTGTCACTGGAGCTGGAAAAAGTGCTTCGCGCGGTGGTTGCATCTGTGCGTGCTGCCCCGGATTGCAAAAAGTCTGAGCCTTCACATGACAGAGTGTCATCGTCAGGCACCGGAGTGTTCAAAACCAAACTGAAAGTGTGCCAAAAGACTGTGTTACTCGCACTGCCTCTCTCAGTTTTCCTGCGATTGGTGGGGTCTGACGCCCAAACTTGATACAAAGGTCTCAACAGCCGTTGGGAATTGGTCAGCTTCCATGGCTTCTTCAAGGTTGTGAGGTGAACTAGGTTCACTGCCTTCATGCAGTCCTCCTCCGGAAGGCCCTGCTCCTGTGGCTTCATGGCATCAAGGCGGGTTTGGAGTTGGGTCTTCCGCAATCCGCACCGTGCGCATCTGATGTTGGGCTTCATCTTGTCGGTCCAGATCCCATTGCCACAGTTTGCCTTTGCAGACAGTGTCGGCCGGCACCAAGGACAGGCCTTGGAGGGGCTGTCTGTTGAAGCACCAGTGACCAAGAGGAAGTCCCGCAGGTTAAGACGCCAAAGAAATTATAGTTCGGGAGGAAGAGGTGCCCTGGTCCTTTTCCTCCACTATCGCGGGCAAAGGAGAAAGTAAAGGAGGAATTCAATGGCGCCGCCACCCTGAAAATTATCGATCCATCGGAATCCATCGTATGGTGCGACGCCGCGTGGGGCGCACCAGCAGGGCTTTATGGGGCTGCCTGCTTGAGACCTTGAACATCTTGAGCCATGTATGTATGTAGGTATGTATGGTATGGTATGGTATGGAATGGAATGGAATGCAACGCAACGCAACGCAATGTAATGTAATGAATGTGTGCATGTATGTGTGCATGTATGTATGTATGTATGTGTGTGTATATATGTGTATATGTAAATGTATTATGAGTATGTACGTCTGTCTGTCTGTCTGTCTGTCTGTCTGTCTGTCTGTCTGTCTGTATGTATGTATGTATGTATGCACGTTGTGTGATGTATTATGTGCAATCCGGGTCGCGGTTCACGGCGGCCACTCAGCCACTCAAGATCCTGACCGGCCACTCAGCCACTCAGCCACTCAAGATCCTGAGTGGCTGAGCGGCTCGAAGAAAGCCTGAGTTGCTGAGTGGCAGGAAGAAAAGCCTGAGTGGCTGAGTGGCTGACAGGAAGAAATGTCTGAGTGGCTGAGAGAAGACAAGCCTGAGTGGCTGAGTGGCTGACAGGAAGAAAAGTCTGAGTGAGTGGCTGACAGGAAGGAAAGCCTGAGTAGCTGAGTGGCTGGTGCCGAGTGGCTGGGCGGAGGTGGTGGTAGTAGTAGTAGCAGAAGTAGTAGCAGCAGCAGCAGTAGTAGGAGTAGGAGTAGGAGTAGTAGGAGTAGGAGTAGCAGCAGCAGGAGCAGTAGCAGTAGTTCTATTATTGGTAGTAGGAGTGGTCGGAGCAGTGGAAGTGGTAGTCGTAGTGGTAGTAAGAGTAGCAGTGGCAGTAGCAGTAGCCACTGTAGGAGGAGGAGGTCCAAAGCTAGCCGAAGCGCACGGGAGGTGTTTGTTTCCACGCAGCATTCATTGAGCTCGTGTACCCATACGGAAAGCTAGGGTTCGAGCTGGATTTCCATGGCACTCAGCCGGGTTTAGAAATGCAAGGTATAATATTGAAAACAGAAATGACTGTGGAAATCCTCCGTTTCTGAAACGGATCCGGCTGCTGTTCCACTATCATTCGCAGTGGACGCGAAATCAGTCGGCAAGTGAGCTGCAGCACACGAATGATGGTGACGCGCGTGCTTCATAAACAGCACTGGGCTGATTGCTCCTTGGAGCACGGGGCCTATTTTTCTTGGGGTGTAAAGTAACAGTTGTCAGCAGCTCTTTCGCGCAATGAGGATCGGCAAGGCTTTGGCTGCAAAGCGCAAGCACACACATAGAGCTACGGAGCCCTCACGGGGGAGTCGCATGTGCAGCACCCTACATCCTAACATCCACCTGGACACGTTAGCAGACACTCGCATACCTAAGCACGAAAATATAAGGAATAGAATGTCTTGACGAAACAGCTGGTGAGATGTTATTGCAAATCTGGGGGTTAAATTTACCACCCGCTGTTGTATGCATTGGGTCGGAAATAGAAGTAAGCATTTCTGGCATCACAAGGAATGTAAATGCACCAGGCCCTCCGTAGTGCAGGATAGGTCTTCGAAAAAGGTATATGGACCAGAGTGCCTTGACGAAATAGCTGGTTTATTGTTATAGCGAATCTGGTGGGTAAATTTGCCCCCCGCTTTTGTACGCGTTGGGTCGGAAATAGGGGTAAACATTTCTGGCATCACAAGGAGTGTAAATGCACTAGGGCGTCCGTAGTGCAGGATAAGTCGTTATGGCAAATCTAAAAGGTAAAATTTACCTCTCGCTTTTGTACGCATTGGGCCAAAAAGTGTATACAAAGCTGTTGGAGAAAGAGGGTGCTTTAGCCAAAGGAGACAGGCTTCGGTTTTTGCGTCGGCTTTGACTCCAACAGAACCGCTGTCCAACTCTACAAGTACGGATCAGCTACTACCAATACTACTGACTACTTCTACTACGACGACTACTCCACACCAGCCACTCAACTACTCAGCCGCTCAAGCATTTCTTCCTGTCAGCCACTCACCCACTCAGACATTTCTTCCTGTCAACCACTCAGCCACTCAACCACTCAAGATTTTGTGCCTGTAACCACTCAGGATTTTGTTCCTGTCAGTTCGTTTCTGCAAAGACAGGCTTCCCCACAACACACGCTTGTACAAAGGACGCCTGAAACAAAAAAGAAACAATAAATCGACCACGCCCCTTTCGTCCACACACTTCTGTGGACGTCTGCTTCTGCGCTGGTTTTGTGAGGCGCCACACCTGGTCGGATCCAGGCGTCTTGGACACAAATCATCGTGGAAGCTTCTGGGCTTAGGATGAATCCTTGCTACTGGGCAAGCTTCCTAAGAATCGTACACGTCAGGGGAGGCGCTCCTCGCAAACGATGGGGCGTTCAATGGCGACTTGTGACACTGAGCGATCTGGTACTCCTACAGCAAGAGTCCTATCACCGTAATTTACTATACACAAACATGTCGTTGAGAGGGTGTCCCCTGGGTTCTCAGCAGGAAAATGGCAGCTTCAAAACGAACTCAAAGACACTTCCGGGGTCACACAAACAGGACCTCTCAAACCAAAAACGAAACAGCCCAACAGCCGAACATGTGTTGTTTTGCCCGTACCCGTCTTGTTGCTATTTGGCTCCCACTGCCCTCCATCAATTTAACGACGACGAAACCCTTCCTATAAGATTTCTTGCCACAAACGACTTCAACCCATCCTGCGGCGCAACACTCCTCTCTGTTGTTTGCAGGCTTGCGAGCGTCCGCCCACTGCCGAACAGACACCTGCCTCGAGGATTTCAAAACCCTTTTGGCAACACTTGGAATCAAGCGCAGCCGGCTGGCGTTCCACTTGCGGCTCTTCAAAAGCCAAGCGCACATCTTGCGCAATGTCTTGGAGCCTCCGCCCAAGGAGAATTTCTTTTCGCGTCTTTCTCTGTTCGAAAAGAAGAAGGATAGTTTTTCCGGGCTCTGGGCTGTTTCCAGCCAAGCTCCACTGCAGCATTGGCGTCCGGCTCGGACATCTCCTGGATGCAACGCTGTCAAGACAAAGAATTGGCCACGTTTGCAGCTGAAGGTGGCGGTCCCATCAGCATCGGTCAACATAGACATACTCCTGGCGGGGCTCCACAACCGGACTGCCGGCATCAAATCGCGCGCCGTTGGCCGGAGTGCAAAATCAGGTTGCAGCAGCTGACGAAGAACATCGTTCCCTCCAAGCAACCTCGGAATGTACACACCGGTCCTACGGAGAGCGGGGGTCTGCTCAGGGTAGTGTGGGAAAGAACGCCACACAGCTGCGTGCCCGACCAGTTGCATCTGTTGCGCCAGCAAATCCTTACTGGCAAGTTCTGCGTCTGTCGAGGGGGTGCATTTGGCAATTGAATGTTTGGACCCTAGACGAAGCGAACCGGCAACCCCACCGTCGACGTAACTTAACAACTCCAAACCGACCCGTTTTTGTGCAATACTCTTGTTTCGAGGTTTGGGGCGACAAACAGTGTACAACAATTGATCACACATGTACGCACAAGCTTCGAATCCCGAAGTAGCTCCGAACAATCGCTCGCCACATCATCTCGTAGAGCAAGACACCAAGGCTCCACATATCGCTCGGAGGGCCTGGACGCTTGCCCAAAATCACTTCAGGGCTCCGGTAGTTCAAAGTCAACGCTGGCAAAGTCATGTAAACCTGTGCGTTGCCAAAATCAGCCAGCTTGGCTCGCCACTTCTCTTGGCAGAATACCAGCACATTGCCTGGTTTCACATCGTTGTGAACAACTTGCTCCGAATGACGATGCGCAAGGGCTTCGGCTAAGTCCAGTAGCAATTTTTCTCGCAAGTGGCAGCTCCAAGGGAAGGAACTCCGTCAATGTTCCAAGAGCGAGCTCGAACACCATACCGTATCCTCCACCAATTGTGACATCCAGAAGCTGCACCACTTGGGGGCATTGCACTTGCTCCAAGATCGAGACCTCCTGCAAAAATTCTAGTGCCTTGCTTGCGCGACCTCTCCTCAGGTATGCCGAGCAAAAAATGAGCAGTGGCCGGTGGACTCAGACCCAGAAATTCGAGCGAGCAAAACGCTCAGCCAAACACAAATACATTTCAAATTGACTATCTCACTTCTCGCTGGTCACGTCACAAGAAAAAATTGAACAATCACATAAACAATTAGTCCAGCGACAACTCTTTCACAGCCACTTTGCGGTCAGTCCGCCTTCCACTGCCACGAACACTTTGCCAAACTTATGGGACCGAGCGAACAAACGGAGGCCGCCCGCCAAACTAAACGAAACTCTAGGGTTAACTAAGCGTTTTAGCAGAAGAACATAAAACATACTCAGGAAGACAAAACAAAACAAGGAACGTGCCACCACCCAAGGTCTTGATGAAGCCGTAGTCAGTAGTCATCCAACACCTTGGAAGGCTACTCTAAGTGCCCCTGCACAAGCGCAAAGCCTTTCTGAAGCAGCGGTGCCATCGCAGGCGCCGTCACAGTGGGCACTGTCACATTGGGCACTGTCACCACAGGCGCTGTCGCCCCTGCCCGCAAACGCCAAGGTGCACCATTGTTCAGGCACGCCTTGGCATAGTTATGAGCGGTCGAAAAGGTCGCAGAGCTCTTCCAAACAAGGAGGACCGCCAGAGTCTCTGGCAACGCAGCTGTGCGCGACAGCGCTCGGCCTCTGCGAGCTGCCGCTTCAAGCGCCTCCAGCCCAGATCGAAAATCTTCTTCGTCCTCAAACTGGATCTGCCAATCTTTGGCGGCTCGGTTTCAAAGGACCATGGCTGAACAACGCAGGTCCTGAGAGTTTCCTATAAAATTAAAGCTCCAACTGGATTCGTTTAGTTTGGCACTAAACTTACAGAAGGCGGTTCCGGCCTGCTGCACTTTGTCTGAGTCTGTCCTTTCAGCTTGAGGAGCGCTGCCCTCTTGATGTGTCAAATCCACCATCTATATACAGCCATCCTCTTGAGGACGCGCCTGACGCGTCTAAAAGAAGTGCAATAAAAAGCACGTGAGAGTGAGAGAGAGAGAGGGAGAGACAGAGTGTCAGCACTGAATCTCGTCGCACCAGGGCCCCCAGCAAGTGGCTCCTCCGGAGCGCGCCATCAGCGCCATCAGCCTGACGCCGCTGATGTTTCCACTACGCAGAGAAACATGTTGCCTCCTCTTTAGATCTCGCACTGGGATGATGTCGGGATGGCTCAGTTTGAGGTCAGAGAGACTGTGCCTACCAACAGGAAGACGACAGTGGAGCCAGTGCCAGTACTTGTGCTTGTCAGCGCCCATCCACTTGTCAGACTCGGCAACAAGTGTGTAGTCAAGACGATGTAGCATGATATGGCGATCAGCCTGACTTGGGTGCCAGTCACACAAGGTATCATCTTCCGCATGTATGAGGTGGACATCATATTGGCCTGGAGTGGCAACTTCCATCAGTGCTGCAAATACTCCCTTGGGCATCGCAATAGCACCAAGTTCGGCCGAAACCCGACATTCCGGAAACAACACTCTTTGGGCACAATGGTCCCTAGCTTACACGCATCTCTAGTCTCAATGGCGAGCGGCAAACAACCTTCTTGGCAAAACAACTAGCTACTGAGCTACTAATCAGAAGCCACAGCGTTCAAATCCCTGCGCACCGGCCGGCCTTCACCGACAGAAGCCCAAAGAAAAAAACACAGCCCAGCGCTGCAAGGGCTCTTTGCCTCTTTGGTATGGCTGCTCGAGGGGTGTCAATCTCGCAGTGGCTTACTGTGGCGATTGTGGCAAGACACAAGTCACAAGCAGAGCTTCATCAAAGCTGCTGCATGCGACTGCTCGCGCCGTGGATTGACAAGCCCAGCCCTGTCTCAGCCAAAAGCCGCTGTGTCGGACTGAGCTCCGGTCGATAAGCGTTCCAACTCACCAAATGGCCAAGGGGATCCAAGGGGGAAACATTAGAGACATATGTGGCTTAGTGCTAAAAGGTCAGATTGTAAGAGGAACCTAAGTGGAGCCCAGACCTATTGAAACGAAACCAGGCTATACAGACCTGCACGTCGGACCACGACGATCGGACTCTGAGATTCTCGTGGTCTAGTTGGAAACAAGTCTCGTCGACATGCCCATGATGGTCCATCTGTCTTTTGTGGTCCAGTTGCTCGTGTTCGGATGGTAAGTGTCCCAATAACCACCTACTAGGGGGGGCCTTTTATTTGTTTATCAAAGTGTAACGCCACACATACAAAAGGAAACACCCGGCTTTCTTCGTGTAAGCCACTCAGGATCTTGAGTGGCTGAGTGGCTGAGTCGCTGACAGGAAGAAAATCCGCATTTCCACGCACAATCTGATGTAATGCCATGTAACATAATGTAACGGTATGTTATGGTAGGTATGTATGTACAGTAGGTAGGTAGGTATGTCGTGTGCCAATATTTTTGTTTGGATAAGCAATAGAGACACCTGCCAGCACTCAGCCACTGTTGCGTTTGTTTGGTAGTAGCACGCATGGTATTGACGCATGGTATTGAACCGCCCAGTCCGGTGCAGTGGAGGTCTGATTCTGCTGAGCAAGGCTGGAGCGCGACTTCATGGCCTTCAATGAATGACAAGCACTTCAGAACTTGGGGATGTCAATGAAACGCAAGAAGTGAAAATGAATCGAATCAATGAACATGTTGTAACAACGTTGTATTGGTTGAATGAGGCTGCAGCTTGGTCTGTGCACACTGGGAATACCAATTGAAGTGCCTCCACACAAGCACAACTGACAAATGAAGGTCCACAACAACAATGAACGCGTTTGTTTGCCGATAAAATTTCAAGAAAAACGAAGATTGGCTGCTGTATCATACAGCCTGTATGTAGGCTTCTTGCTGAACAGCAATTGGTGGAAACTGAGGGCGTAGCAAGCGGAGAATCTGACGGATTCTGCGCTAGTAGCCAGCCTTGGCAAGAATGGTGCTTTTGGACTGTATCCTCGCTGAAACCACGGGACGAGATGTTTGATATTGAGTTAAACACCTCAACACTTCAAAACATTAGTCATGAAACAGGTGTGAATGATTTCTCCATGGCGCGCAGTCTCACAAGAGCCAAGCAACGAGCCTTTGTCGCGCCCACTTGCGTGAGGTCAAAAGCCAGCATAGGCTCGAACAGAGCATGCGGTTGCATCAACGACGCTTGCACCTGTCCCCAAATAGGAAATTCGGCAGAACATGTTCCACTTTATTACGCATTAATCCGACATCCAACACCTCAAGCAGTGGATGTAGAGTTTACGTAGTCTACCAGTGGATTTGCCAAATGATGCATCTGGCTGCCAAGGTGCTTGAAGAGTGGCACCCCATACAATATTCGTGTCAAAAATCAACATGGCTTCAATAATGTCGGTCCCTCTTCCTTGTTTCACACTAGTCAGAAGTCGAGCGGGGCCATTGCGAAAACACTGCATCGAAACGCTTTTGCGAACAAGAGACCATGAACATGTGTGACAGACTTTTGTCGAGCCATCCACTGCTCCAAAGAGTCAAGCCTCGGCGGGAAACACCATAACGTGGCTCTGAGCGATGCAAAACCTTGATTCCAAGGGGCGTCAATGGAGTATTCCAATGAACTGTTTCACCTGACTCTGAAGCAGCGAACAGCTCACGCGCTGAATCCTCCAAGGGGCACACTGGGCACACCAGGTCAGGTGCAAGCGAGGAGAGCAGTTAAGAGGCATGCAGCAAGTGAATCGAGAAGCAAAACACATGCCCCCACAGTCTAAGTCTCAAGTAAACTATGAAATTTTGCCCTGTCCTCTGCTGCACCTTGGAAATGCTCAAAGCAAGCGAGCTACGTCTTGCCGTTTTCGCCGGTGGGTGGGTTTGAAAAAATGGGAGTCTCGGGGGCCTGGATCTGTTGCGGTCTCGCCATAGCACAACTTGGCATCAACATTGTTGGCACACGGTCGTGCCACCCTTTCTGCATGGACCACACGGAAAGGATGAATATGTTTTTCCGGAATTTGTTTTCAGGTGTTTTCCGGGAATTTGTGTCACGTTTCTTCACCTACTGCTTTTGCTTTTTGCTCTTGCTTCTGCTGGGAGTGCTTTACAAGCACTAGGAGCAGCAGAAAGGGCAGGGGACGAAGCACCAAAGCCCTTTTCTGTTCCCTCCCTTTGTCACTGTCTCGCTCTCTCCGTCACGCTGGCTTTGGTGCTTCGTCACCTGCCCTTTCTGCTGCTCCTAGTGCTTGTAAAGCACTCCCAGCAGAAGCAAAAGCAAAGGCAGAAAGTAAAAGCAGAAGCAAAAGCAAAAGCAAAAGCAAAAAAACAAAAGAAGAAGCACAAGCAAAAAGCAAAAGCAAAAGCAGAAGCAGTAGGGGAAAAACGCGAAAACAATTCCCGGAAAAAATAACGAAAAAAACAGAGAAATACCGTTTCCACACGGAAACATTGGAAGGTTTTGCTGCTACATTTTAGAGGCCTCGGTTGATGAATCGCTTCCACAAGCATGTGCTCAGAAAACCATGCAGCCACACGAACAAACACAAAGGTATGGTTTATTCACTCATGGCATGACACTGGCCAAAAACCTTGACTAGAGTCAAGGGTCCAATAGCAAACCCTATATAATCAAAGCGTCAAACTGGAACACAAATACCACATCATGGGGCGCCAAAAAACTTGTTCCAAAATCCCGGAAGTGCAGAATCTGATGTGCCGGGTTTGTGAGACGCCGCGCTGGGGGTCTCAATCCGCGTGAGCCCAGCCAGTTCTTTTTAGCGTATCAGCGGCGCATGAGAATTATCTGTTTCCGCACCTGTGTTCCATGTAGTTGTTGCCAAAGCGGCTACTGTAGTTCTTAATGTGGTCCATGCACACTTGAGATGTCGAGCATGGCAGCAAGGAACTCCATGAAGGTGTGTCTTTGTGTGTGTGTGTCTTGCCGGTTGTCGCGCGATATGTGCTCATAGCTGTTCAGTACTGCATGAGTTCTCTCACTGTCATGCCCATGGTTTATTGAGTTCTTTGTGGGGGCACGAGCCCAATGTCCTTACACCCGCATATCTCTCAATGGTCTGGATTCAAGAAGATCTGTTGGGATGACACTTTAGCTAACTTCACTACTACATCACCGCGGGAGATCATTGATCAATATAGACTTCCCGATGTATGGCCAATGTGGATCATTTGGTGGTGAACGAATCGCCGGCTTTTGCGAGGTCTTGTTGCATGCTACCTGCGTAGGACCCAGAAGGCCCCAAAAGAAAACCAACTTCCTATCACCGATGCACAGTAGCTTTTGTGGCTTGCTGCCTGAGATGTCGCTAATTGCGATCCAAAGCCCGACATCGTTCTGTCCGAGAAATTCACCTTATTTGACCTCGCCCTGTCATAGGCGTACTTAACAGGCTGCCGGGTGTAAATGTTCAAAGCTCATTGAGCAATGCCACTGATCGCGGCCGCTAGGCTGATGGTTGCGCGAAACTGGCGCAAGATAGGTTCAACAAAGGCGATCAACTGGTGTCGCATGAGAGGCCGCACAGCCACGACTCCAAAGAATTGAAAGGCCCCAGTTTCTTACATGGCCTACGTCTGTTGAAACACAGCTACGTCTGATGTTGAAACCTACGTCTGGAGTTTAACACATGTTGTCCTGCGATGTAGACGTCGAAACTATATATATATATACTGGGACAAAAGGTTGTCCACTCCGGAAGCATCCGAAGCCAAACATTCCACAATAACTACGGAATGTTCTTATATTTGTTGCGTTCTAGTCGCCACTGCCTGCCCACTAAATCAAGGGTGAAAATTTGATTTGAATCAATGATCACAAAAAGTGTGCAAACGTCTGACAGAAACAACAGGCTCACATTCAGAGCTTTTCTGGTGATTCTGATCTTGCCGCGGCACCAGCTCCAGAAGGCATGGAGACCTGGAAAATGAACAAAACTGAAGAAATCTGAAGAATGTAAGGAGCCTAGAAACAGCAGTCAGTCCGTTCTCCAAAGTAGCCTGGCACTTGTTCGGCGAAGTTACAGAGCGTTCTTGTTTCTAGTGCAACAGGGTAGTGATGTCCATCGTGCCAGAGGAAAGAGACAAGTCTATAGAAATGAACACAACAAACTCGAGAACCCGAAAGGTCCAGAAGCACAAGAACAGAAGGAAGAAAGAAAGAACGGAGAAGCATTCCTGTCTTTAGTATATAGAATAAGGCAGTGGCATCCAGGCTGCAAAGAGGTATGTAGGGGTATGTATCCAGCGGCACTTGCATGCTTCAGCGTGGCCATTCCCACAAACTGCCATGCAAAGAATCGACCGGAGGCCTTCGCTGGATCATAGTAGACCCTAACCTCAGCCAGCATACCACAAACGCTATTACACAATTACAAACAACATGCGAGAGAGAGTGCCTGGACATGCTGGTCACACAGATCATGCAAAAGAGGCAAAGCATGCCGTGGTACTGTATACTACCGCCGAAGCTACCGTACGCAGGGTCTGTAAAATATTTATATAGACTGTCTTATAGTGCTACAGCGCACTACAGTACCACACTCCTTTTTTTTCGGAACACATGTTTAAAGGAGATCTCTACGTATCCCGCCCCGATCTTCTGTACTGCATTGACACACCTGCGCTCTGATGCAGCTGCGTAGCAACTTCCGTTCGAGCCAAGGGTTTCAGGGTCTTCGTGAGAAGCTCGGGAATGATACGGCTGTCAGTCGATCGAACTGAGTCAGGGCAGTTTCTGCACTCCAAGGCGTCAGAAATGGCATCTATATAATGTGCTTTTTCAGGCTCTTCATGATGTGTGCTTGTTGTTTCTTGTTGGATGTTTCTTGTTGGCTAAGTTGCAAGACCCCGTCTGCCGAGTCTACTGAGCCCTGCCTGCGCTAAGCTGCAAAGGCTGCTCGAAAGTTGAGCGTGCCGCAACAACACGATTCTGGACCTGCGTGCAAAATCGGTCAAAGGATGGCTATAGTCTTGAGACTTAGGCGTCAACAGGCCACAAGCTCTGCGAAAAGAGTCTCCCAATCAAGTCCAAGCTGCTCGGCCAGGAAATGATGCTTCAAACCGCAAGCTCGCTGGAGAAAAGCTCAGCCCGCCCAGAACGCTCTCGTACCTTCAATTCGGAGTATTGAAGTCAAAAGTGCTTTTAGCCAAGGGGTCTATGAATCTCTAGCTCGGCCTAGCTTATACGCCGTCCTGCTGGGGCACAAAATGCCTTATGTATCTTGTCTGAAAAGGTATCATCGTGCAAACAGTTGCATGAGAAAATCTTTTGCAACCGAGGGCGTGTTTCTGCAAAGTGTCCGTAACAGGACGTTTAATGAATGCCACTGGCAAGCGTTTGAACTGAATCAACTGGTCCAGTCTACCCAGGAGGAAAACGAACTAAGTAAGGCGCAAGGAGGTTCGAGTCTGAAGATGAGTCTTTATCACTTCATAAGTTCGCCAACTGATAATCAATGGGCGGACCATTGGGTTCAAAAGCCCAAAAACGAAGTGCTTGGTGCGTACAATGTTGCATCATGCCACAACTACCTCTAGTTGCCTGCTTGATTCAACTGTTCCTGGCCCTTGCCTGATTCTTATGGTAATCTTTTCACCTCGCTTGGTGACCAGCTGCACGCTGGCGTTCCTCAGTGGAGTCAGAGTTAGATATTGGATGATATTGGCAACGCCTCAGATGTGCCCAAGAAACATCCAACAACTATGTAATATTATTGTAATATTATGTACAGTAATCTACGCTTCTTTGCTGTAGTAGGCTGCAATGCAACAGGCGCAAGCACACCACTGCCCAAATGTCGGTAAATCCCGGCTCCCCCTCTCCAAGAAAAAGAACACGCGCAATGCCGAGCCAGAATCACAGATGGCCCGCCGGCAACTGTAGGCTCCTGCAGCCCCGGGTATGATCAAATCATGCTGTCACTCTATATACAAAACATGGGTCTGAACATCTCTGTCCTTCTCAAGAACTTCTAAGGTTAGAGCCAACCTATGCCCAGGTTGCAGAGTCAGCACCTCAGGGCACATCGCAGAATGGAGAACAAACATGCTGGAAGGAATTATAGGTCCACACCCGGCCACAACTCCACAAGTTGTGTGTGTGTGCGTGTCAGCTGCGCCTTCTTTGTGTTCGACTGCCTTGGGATTGGCCTGGATCCGCGTGTCTGAATCCCCTGGCCATAGGCTGGACATTGAGAAACAACTGTTTCCATAAAGAAGGAAAAAGGCAAGCAAAATCAGCTATCTTCAAACAAATCCGTCAGGATACCACGAGAGTCTAGCCTGCGGACTGTACATGCCATCCATGTGCAGGCTCACACTCGGGTGACTGAAGCTAAAGCTCTCAATCGTCACGTTGACCGGATTGAGGTTCCTTCAGCACAACCAAAATTCGGGCCAGACAACACAGTGGGTGGTGGTAACCCTCAGAATTGGTTCTTCCCGACCCTCATGAGGCCTTTGGTCAAAAGACTAAAGGTTGGGCAACCAGAAAGAAAGGAACATGTGTAAAAATGTGATCACAAAATGCCACAGCCAGCTTTGGCATGTGCGGCTCGTGACAAACTCTCAAAGTTTCAAAAGCACCAAGAATAAAGTGCGTAGCTACGACCCTGACCCTGATTTCCATCGTTGCGGAGCAAACCAAATTTGTCTATTGTTATCTTAGACTTGGCCTCAGTGACATTCAGTGGTACATTCAGGTCGAATTGTGCAAGGTCTGCTCTCAACTGCACGGGTTGCATAGGCACTTACAAAATAGTCAAATTAGTGGCTCGAAGACCTTCTAGCCATGAAAAAACAGAATGGAAGATCACGGTAACCTGCAGGGCTGAATGCAGCTTGGAGGCGTGATGTTAAGCCCTGAGAGCGAAAAAGGGTGTGAAAAATGGCAAAAGCACTTGACAAAAACTGCGTTAAGGTTCAGTCTTCTCTGCTATGTCTAGCACAATGCCAAGCATCGTGACCGGCGTGCTTCTGATACGCTCAGAATCCCTAAGTCCAAATCCTTGGTTCGTTCAAACTTTGGCAGCGGCGAGACTTATAAAAAATGACGTGAACGCATTTCAACTATCTAGCATCTCTGCGCGGTGGGCAGTAAAAACAGTCTGTAGCCGTAGCATCCACCCAAATTGTGCAAGAAGCTCCTGCAAGGGACACATGAACATGTCTCATGTATCGACATGTGGCGAGGCTGCCAGCGCTGGCAGCCGCACTGCATTCTTGAAGTTCACCATGTTCCATCTGGCATGACAGGACACATGGCCACACATTCACCAGGACACATGGCCACTGACCAATGTCACTCACCTATGATCGCCAAGCTCTACTGGACACTGGAGCTGCAAGGACTGTGAATGCACAGAACATCACAGAAGTGAGGCCAAAATTGAGCAATCAAAGTGGTTGCCTGGCAATGGAGGTTTCCATGGTAGACTTGAAGAGGGATCTTCATCGCCTGTGAAATGGAAGCGAAACTACTTTCATGCATGCTCAGGTCAGCTGCCTGTGGCATTCAAGTAGCTTTGAAGATCCAGGCTTTAAGACTGTAAGACAGTAAGGCACCGACAGTCACATTTGTGGCCAGCTCTAAGTCCCTGGTGCACAAGGCCTCGCAAAACAATGCAAAACTCATGGGAGCCTGCAAGACTTGCATACCGATGGGCCGCCAGCACTGGGGGACAGGCACTGCTCCCGTTGGACGTGTACTCTAAATGCATCAAGGAGGCGGCCTGAACAGCATGCAGAAGAAAGGGGCCATAGACAATGGTCAAAGTCAAATCTGAATAGATTGAAACAACAAAAATGCATCTAGCCAGGCCTCCCCTGGCTGCAAGACGGTGTCAGGCTGAAAATGTGAGATCTTGAAGCTAGCATCCTTGTGGGCTCCAATAATAACAGTCTATTTGGGGAAACAAAACGCAGAAGCAGCAGGTGAATAAAAGGACAAGCTGCGTCTATCTTTGCAGAGCGTATCAATATAGGAACCTGAGCACCAAAGAACACATGCATTCTCGCGTTCTAGTGTCAACCACCTTGCATCCCCTATCATCCCCTTAAGTTGTCGGAATGATTTCCGCGTTCAAAACTATTCACACTACATCATGGCACATCATCGCTGCATCCAAGCATCGGAAAAGTTGTTCGACACCATTATCGCGCGCATTGTAGATGTCACACGGCCAGGTGTGGCAAGAAACTTGGTCTTGTCATTCATGAAACCTTAAAGCGTCAGAATGGAATGGATCTTGCTGGAACAGTGCAGCCAGCACTCTGCGCATCCAAGATTCCAAGGGAACCATATAAAACCTCAATCACAGTCAACTACAATACTGGCAACACTGAATCTCAGAGCCAAAGACCGGAGTGGCTTTCTCTGATCGACTCGGGGCCTACGACAAATGAGAACGTGGATTGGACAAAATGTTCAGTGCACTGACCTAGGTTGAGCCACGTTTGCTTTGTATGGCACATCCAGGGTCGCAGATACAGCATCGGTATCATTCACAATGAGCTGCAACTTACCTTGCAAAGAACGGGCCCACCAACTCAGCACACATGAATGTGTTGTGATTTTGTGATCTCAGCTGCTGAGGGAAAGGACGCAAAATCTATGAAATATCAGTGTATATATATATATATTTGTTTATTAATTCTAAGTTGAGCAAAGTTTCCGTGAACAGCGCCTTCCCTTGAACCGTGGTAGGTCACCTTTGCAAATCGTACCATTGACCCTGAAGAGACGCTAATTCCTGCCAACATTGCCGCAGTTGCACGAGACATAGAGTTGAATCCCCGTGTTTAGCCTTTGAAGGTGTGCATGGTCACGCTAAAGCTAAAGCACAAAGCCCGACAATCTAGTATATAGTTCAATTGCCCACCTTTCTTATGATCGAAGCCCGATATCTGGAGATTGGGATTCCTTAGCGGGACATGGTTGGTTCACCTGCGACTAAAGCACACTCTTGAAAATAAACACTCTGGGAAAGCGGGTGGTGGCATACATCCAAAGGCTAGACTTTCGATTCAACAACTGGCAACCCCTGACATGGAAAAGTACGTAACAAATCTTTTTCCCTGGATATCGAATATCGTCAGTCTTGAGTCCGTGCCGACAAGTATGGTGTTGTCCCCGTGAAAGACCTTGACAAACACTTGGGGACATCTTTCCCGGAAATATGGACATCACTTCAATAGCTAGAGCCTCACTACTCTTCCCACGCGTCGGAAAGCACTCCAAAGCACTGACTGGTGACTACAACATCCAGGGTTCGCATACATTGCCATGAGGTGGACATACACCAGATTCAAAGGTGTCAGTCGTACATGGCATGCTAAACAGTGCTCTAACCTGTCCACGGTGGTGGGCAGCAATGCAACAAACATCAACAAACTACAAGCACTTCGCCAAAGGCCCATGATAATAATTTGTCGTTCAGCATCTGAGTTGGATCAAACAAAGACAGCAGTTGTATCGGCTGCGAGTTCAGGTTTGTCACAGAGAGCCAAATGGATCCTTAGCTATGCAAATTGTGTCACATTCTGTTGTCTTCGCCTGTGGTGCCAACATGTGCCAACGCTTTACGACTGAATGCACCCATACTACCCGCAAGTCGGGGAGGTCTTCTAGGCCAGCTAGCGTTCGGAGCCTTCTCGGCCAAGCAGCTTGCTTGAACAGAAGAGACCAAGGTTTGGAAGTCGACGATTTCAGGGGAAATCCTCAGTTCACATCTGGAACAAAGGAGCGACTGAGCTCATCATCCTCAGTTCAAATCTGGGACAAAGTGACCACGTCAGCCCGTTATTCACTTCTGACAATGAGTGGCCAAGGATCTTGATTCCTGTTACCTTGACAACTCCCAAGGTGACTGGTATCAGAATTCGCGTAGGATGCCCTTCGATTCTAATTTCAATGAATCCTCAGCTTTGCAGAGTGGCACAATAACCATGAATGAACTGTGACACTAACTATCTGGGGCTCGCCTACAAGGCAAACTATGACTCTGAATGACATCCGTCTTCAGCCTCTAAACGAAAGGTTTCCTGCTCCAAAGAAATGTGGAATTTGGATGCTCCAAACGTCTTGCAAAAATTCAGACGAGATGCCCCGATACTTGCCTCGGTAAAAAAATCCATCGTCCCTTGGGCCCTTGAGTCTAGGACATGGGATCAAAAAAGAAAGATCCAAGGCACCCGGAGGCAAAGTGAACTTGGCATAACCAACAATACTTTGCTCCTGTGGTTGGATCTTCCAGGCCTCGAAAACGTGACAGAAAAAGACGCAAAGTAACATCACGGCACTCTGCCCTGCAACGCATTGGTCGGTCTCGACCGGTCTGGTGACAAAAGTCCCTGTGCTGCACAAAATCACAGACATTCCATGCGGACCATGCGGCGTGTAGACTTGAGGCCAGAGGGGGTGAACGAAAGCTAGCTGGGCTTCCGGTGGTCTGCTGCTGGTGCTGCTGCTGCTGCCGCTGCTGCGCTGGGCGCTGCTGCGCTGGGTGCTCTGCAGGCGCCGGGTCGTCTGCTGCTGCTGCTGCTGCTGGCGCTGGGTGGTCTGCTGCGGCTGCTGCTGCCGCGGCGTTGGGTATGCTGCTGCTGCTGCTGCCGCTGCTGCGCTGGGCGCTGCAGATGCTTGGTGTGCTGCAGCTGCTTGGTGGTCCCGCTCACCGCGCGCAGGGGGGAGTCGAACCGCGGGGGGGGGGG